TGAGGATCCCCATTCCACAGCCGAGAACACAAACACGCACGCACACACAAACACAAGCACACACACACACACACACACTCCCACCGCCCGCTCAAGCCCCCACCCCTACCGCTCACCCGCTCCGACTGCTCATCCTCCTGGAGTTGCACCGAGGCGCCCACCACCGCCACCACCTCCAACACATGCGCCAGTGCAGCCTGCGCACAAGGGTGGGTGGATGGGTGGGTGGGTGAGTGGGTCAGGTCAGGAGGGGGGTTGGGCAGGGTTTTGTGAGGGAGGTGGGCAAGGAGGGTGGGGAGGGCATGGCGTGAGGCGAGGGGCGGCGAGGGGCGGCAAGGGAGAGGAAGCAGGGGGGCAGTCGTGGGAGGAGCGGCAGCAGCAGCAATGTGGCAGCAACAAACAGGGGGCAGGCTCCCCTGGCGGTGGGCAGGCGCAGCAGCAGGCAGCAGCAGGCGGCGAGGGGCAGCGCAGGGGCGGTACACAGGGCGGCAGCCAGGCAGAAGCCGCTTACCTCAGGCATGCCCGCCGCTAGCTCGGCAACCAGCTCCAGCGCCGCGTTGCGCACGGCGCCGTCCGGCGCCACCCGCGCCCCCCGCACCGCCAGAGCCAGGTCAAACGCCGCCGCCGCCTCGCCGCCCTGCTGCCCCTGCTGTGCAGCAGCTGCTGCTGCAGCCGTGGCGGTGGCGGCCGGCTTGCGCCCTCTGCCCTTGGGCTTGGCTGGGGCGGGGCTGGGGGCGGGCTGCTGGGATGCCGCTTGCAAGGGGTGGTGCTGGCGCTGGTGCTGGGCGATGCGGAGCAGCACCGACAGGCAGAGCTGCAGCAGGTAGATGGCTTCTGCTGCAGGCAGGCTGCCGCCAAGTGCCGCCTCTGCCTCCTCCTCCTCCTCCTCCTGCTGCTGCTGCTGCTGCCCCTCGGCTGCGGCCAGCTGGCCCAGCAGCTGCCGCAGTACCGCATGTACCGCCGGCACCGCCAGGTGCAGCTGCGCCACGCCGTCCTTCCACAGCAGCAGCTCCAGGGCGGCTGCGCACCTCTCGCTGGCCGGTACCGCATGTACCGCCGCCGCCACTCCTGCCGTGGAACCGCCGGCGGCCTCCTCTGCCTGCCCCTCCCGCCCCTGCCGCCACGCCCGCCGCTGGGCCGCCAGCTGCTGCCGCCGCTGCGCCACCGCCGCCGAGCCCGCCACCGCCGCCGCCTCCAGGCCCGCCCTGTCGCCCTTGTGTGCGCCGCCGCCGCCGCTGCCGCGGCGCTGGCCGGAGCGGGGAGACCGGCCGGCCTGCTTGA